ACAATTGTTTGAGGCCAGGAGTTCAAGACCAGCCTAAGCAAAACAGTGAGACCTCATCTCTACAAAAAATAAGAAAAAAAATTAGCTGGGCATGGTGGTGCACATTTGTAATCCTAGCTACTCAAGAGGCTAAGGTGGGAGGATCACTTGAGCTCAGGAGTTTGAGGTTACATTGAACTATCATCATGCCACTATACTCCAGCCTGAAAAACAGAGCAAGACCCTGTCTCTTACTAAAAAAAAGAAAAAAGAAATCCCTTCTACACCCTGAAGTAACGTAAATATTCACCTGTATTTTATTGTACATTTTCTGCCGCTGTAACAGAATACCAGAATACTAAGTCATTTATAAAGAATGGAAGTTTATTTGCCTCATGGCTGTGGAGGCTGAGAAGTCCAAGAACATGGTGCTGGTGTCTGGCGAGGGTCATACCATGACAGAGGGTAAAAGGGCAAGCAGCGGGTGAGACAGAAAGAGGAAATCAAGCTGAACACATCGTTTTTATCAGGAACCCACTCCTGAGATAATAGCATTAATCTGCCCTCATGAGCTAATCACCTCTCAGAGGTCCCACATCCCAATACCATTACACTGGCAATTACATTTCAACGTGAGTTTTGGGGAAGACATTCAAACCACACAAACTTCCTTTACAGCTTCCTCTTTTACATAAGTTCTCCAATCCCTGTGAAATCCATATGAGAGTATTCTTAGGACTTTGATCTAACTAGTTGTGACTCCAAGTGTACTTAGTATTAATCTGATGAAAATTATGCTTTAAGTAGAGAATGAATGCAGATAAGTAGGTAAATATTTCTGAATCAAATTGCTTATTAGCTGTTTTGGGGACAAAGTATTTATAATAATTTGAATAATAATTACACAGTTTATGGAACATAACACATAGATCATCTTATATAATCCTTACAACAAACCCATGAGGTAGTTATTATTACCCCTATTTTGCAAACAGGGAAACTGAAGTTCAGAAAGAATTAAGTTCACAAAACTAGTAAATGGTAGAACTAGAATTATAAGACATGCAGTCTGTCTCCAGAGCCAATTTTATGAAAACAACTAGGATTAAAGACCATATCTCCACTAGTGGTCAGAAGTGGGAATTTTATCTGGGGGAGATAAATGGTTTTCTCCTAAAAGCAACAGTGGAATCCAAACAGTAATCAAGCAGCTGGATTCACTGTCAGAGTTTCAACCACATTATGCTAATTCCTTTATTCCTTTGTTTTGAAGGAAATAGAGCCAGACCTCTTTTTTAGTTACAGCAATCGTAGAATTTGGTAAACTTCGTCATTCAAGAACATGATACCTTCCTTAAATACACTATAGCCAGGTGTGGTGGTACACCTGCAATCCCAACATTTTGGGAGGTCAGGAGTTTGAGACCCTGTCTCTAAAAAGAAAAAAAAATACACTATGGTAGCATTATGTAAAGCGTTCATGTAAATTTTTTCCATATTCATTGGCACAGAAACATGTCCATGATATACTGTAAACTGAAAATAACAGATCACAAAACAGTTTGTGGAGTATGGTTCTGTGTGTGTGTGTGTGTGTGTGTGTGTGTGTGTGTGTATTAATACAAAGAAAATAGTTTGGTATGTTGTACATCAAATTTTCTTGTGTGTGACTAGCTGTGGTTATCTCTGGATTGTGGGATTATAAATGTATA